GCAGGAGGGGAAGGCCCTCTATGAGGTGGATTGATTCAGTGACTGGGATAATTGGGATGGGAGTGTCAGAGACAGTGCGATTGGCACAGGACAGACCCGAGTGTAGAGCTGTTGTACATAGGGTAGCTATGAGTCGCAAGTGACTTGACAGCACATAACAACAACAACATGAACAATTTGATGTGTCAAATGTGAGAATTGTTACCCATGGTGGACAGTGTTTGGTGGAGACCCCTGATTAAAACAAGCTTGGAAGCAGGAATGGCATCCACTTCTGAAATAGCTTGCCTCTGGAAATCCTATGAACCTGGAGATAGGACAAAAGTAATACAAGTATCCCAGGTCTTGTTCATAGGGTTGCTATGAGTTGTCTACGACTTGACGGCACTTAACAACAACAAGAAGGAGTCACAGTAGACTTGATGGTCTATAACAACAACAAACCTGACTAGGCATCAGTATTGGGGTGGGGTGGGGTGTGAATTTAGGAAAAACTCTTAAGATGCTATATCTTAAAGAGGAAGAAGCACTTAATTGCTGGTCCATTTTTTAAAAAATGGAATTGAATAGACTACAGAGGATGATCATAAATTCTCCAACAATGGTAATTTGGGATTTTTAACAAAACAATTAAAATATTTGTTTTACCAAGTTTTAATCTCTAAGTTTCTCTTTTGCAGTAGTGACTCCTAGTTGAAAGCCATTTTCTCAGGCTTGAACTATGAGCATTTCCATACTATTCAAGTTTGAGAAAGACATATTGAGTGCTTTCTAGAGTAAGGCGAACCCAACTCCACTATATAAAATCTCTGTGTAAACCAAAAAGTTGAACAAAGCAGGGGAACACTGCTCTGTTTAAAATCAAGAAAGTGTGCCTCAAGGCTGTATCTGTTCTCCATACCTAGTCAATCTGCATGCTGAACAAATAAATCATTCAACCAGACGTTATGAAGAATGTGGCATCAGAATTGGAGGAAAACTCATCTATAACCTGTGTTATGCAGATGATATTTCCTTTCTTGCTGAAAGTAAGGAGGACTTGACGCACATGCTATAGAGGATCAAGGAATGCAGCCTTAAATATGGATTACATTTCAGCATCAAGAGGACAAAAATATTCACCACTGGGCTAATAGGTAACATCTTGATAGATGTAGAGGGAAAATTTGAAATTGTCAATGAGCAGGATGACCTGCTTGGATCTACAATCCAATACACTTGCATACAAAGGGTAAGCAGTCAAGAGATCAGGATGCTTATAGCATTGGGAAAATTTATTGTCAGAGACCTCTCTCCAAATTCCTGGAGAGCAACGATGCCAGTTTAAAGACAAAGGTGTGCCTGATTCAAGCCACAGTCTTTCCAATCACCTGTTATGTATTTGAGAGTTGGACAGGAGAAGAATCAATGCATCTAGTTTTGATATTGGAGAAGATTACTGATTATCCCACGGACTGAAAAAAGAACAGGTATGTCTTGGAGAATGTGCATCCAGAGTGCTACTTAGAAGCAAGGATGGCAAAGATTCGTCTCACGGACATTGAACTTATCAGGAGAGGCTTTTCTTTGGAAAGGGATATTATGCTAGGAAAGGTGGAGGTCCAGCGAAGGAAAAGAAGATAGATCCTCAATGAGATGGATATATTGTCTGCAACAGCGGGCTCAACGAGTCAGGAATGTTGGCCAGAATAAGGCAGTGTTTAGATCCGTTATTTGCTGTGAGTTGTACTCCACTCAATGGCACTTAAAAACAATAAGTCTCATGCAGTATTTGTCCTTTTGTGACTGAGATATTTCACTCAGCATAAAGTCCTCCAGAGTCATCCATTTTGAAAAATGTTGCATGAGTTCCTTGTTTTTCAATGCAGCATAGTATTCCATTGTGTGAATATACCACAGCTTCTCTATCCATTTGTTTGTTGATGGGCACCTGGGTTGTTTCCAACTCCTTGCTATTGTGAACAAAGCCGCAATAAACATGGATGTGCATATATCTGCTTGGATGTTGGTTATGGTCTCTTTAGGGTATATTCCCAGTAGTGGAATTGCTGGGTCAAATGGTATCTCTATTTGCAACTTTTTGAGAAAGTGCCACACCACTTTCCACAGTGGTTGCACCATTTTACACTTCCACCAACAGTGAATAAGGATTTCTCTATAACCTCACCAGCATTTGTTGCTTGCTGTTCTGTTAAATTTTGTTATTCTCTCTGGGGTGAGATGGTATCTCATAGTTGTTTTGATTTGCATCTCTCTTAGAGCTAGGGATTTTGAACATTTCTTCACGTGCTTGTTGGTCATTTGAATGTCTTTGGTGAAATGTCTGTTCATATCCTGTGCCCATTTTTCTATTGGATTATTTACCTTTATCTTGATGTGGTGCTCAAGTATTTTATAAACTCTGGATATAAGTCCCTTATCTGATATGTCATTAGGTAGTGTACGGGTGTGTGAGTGTTTGGGAGGGGAGAAAAGTGCAACAATGAGTGAATGGAATTCCAAAGTCTCTGTAAATTTTTACTGAAATTAATAAATTTAAATAAAAATAAAACCCCCCAACAAACAACACACACACGAAGTATCAACTAGATAGGGGACTTTGGTTCAGACTTAGCCTTGTGCCAAAGAGCTATCCCAACAGGTCTACTTTACCCCAGGTGGTCTGGCGGCAGATCGAGGTTGTTTCAGTTTTAGGCACAATAGGGCATTCGAAGCTGTATCTCTGACATCTCCCTTAGAAGATACTCTGCAGGAATCCACACTCTGGTGTGATCTTGTTGTTGTGTAGGGCGGAGTCATAACGGATCCATAGCAGACCCTCCAGTGGGTTTTCAGAGGCAGTTAATCGCACGGGAGATTGCCCATCTTTCCCTCCCGGAGCAGCTTCTTGCCTCTAGGCCATCAGAGGCTCCTGGTGTGATGTTAGAAGGGTCATATAAATTTGGGAAACCAGCATGGTTGAACTCGATTCTAGACTCCCCCAGTGCTAGATGCGTAGCTCTAGTACTTCTCCGTGCTTCAGTTTCTTCAGCTGATAAACGAGGCTAGCAATAACTCACAGTGACAACAGTTAAGGGAGGCTTCGCTTGTCCAACCTAGGCATTAACGCACGCTCCAAGGGCATTTCCATCTGCCACAGCCCTGCTCTGTGCTTCTCATACAAATGAGTTCATCTCAGGCTAAACGTCTACCTCAATTGCGAGACACACGGGACTGGAACCTAGTGCCCTGAATGAGCAGCGGTGAACAGACGCAGCTCTGAGGCAGGCTCTGAGAATGTGGTGAGGTAGACGGGGCAGTCTGACTTTCTCCCCGCATCTGCTTAGCCTGGCAGAGCTGCACTCAAGCTTTCTTTGGAAGCCTGGCGGGGAACTCCCGCCCAGTCCCTCCCCAACATGGCGTCGCCCGCAGGCCACCGCGCGCGGGCCCGCCGCGTTGACGTGCGTGCGCGCGCGTCCTCCGCGCCGGGGCCCGACGCATGCGCTCTGCTCACTCTCTTCTGGCGGCCAGAGCAGCAGCAGCGGCGACGGCGGCGGCGGCTTCAGCGGCATCGGTGGTGTTTGAGCGGAGAAAGATGGCGGCTCCCGGTGTCTCTGGGTCCCGCCAGCTGTGAGGCGTCCCCTCCCCAGAGTGCGGCCAGCACGGCCTCAGGCCGAGCGCCTCTGCTCTGGCACTGACCCCTTGTCTCTCCCCCTCGTCGCCAGCGAAGCGAAGCCGAGAACGTGGTGCGGGCTGGGCCAGGTGAGGCCTCCCCACCTCTGGGGACCGCGGCGGGGAGTCTGCGTCTTCTGCCCTTTACACCCCGGGCCCGTAGGGGGAATCGGGCGCCCAGGGTCCAGCGCAGGCCCTGCAGCCCGCGTGGGGGTCGATGCCACCCTGCCCCGGGTTCTCGCTGTCGTAGCTCTCAATCCCCTTGGGTTAGGCGGGGAGGAGACCCTTACCCCAAGTAGCCCATGGGTGGGAGCGAACCCTGCGCGTCTCCTTAAGCAGAGCCATTCTTGTCCCCCCACTGGGTCCACGAAGGGGTGTGTATGTATGAGATCAGGGCAAAGGATGGCTGTAGGGGTGTCAGGTACTCTCACCCCGCCCCCGAACCCTTAACTCCTTGCGAGAGGAACCGGAGTCGCGTGCCCTCCAAAATTGAGGCTGCGGCGAATGGTCAGCATCTCCGAAGCTGCAGCTGCAAGGTGAAGTTGGTTTTGGTATTTTGATTTTTAAAAAAATTGGCTTAAAAACCAAAAACACAGCGTTTCCTAGCCTCTCGCTTTTCCCAGTGTTCTCCCCGAGAGATGAGATCTCTTTGGTCTGAGACAGCTTCTGGTGAAAATTACTTGTACAAGGGGGCTAGTGGAGGGTGGGAACGAATTTGTAAACGAAAACAAGATAAAATTGTAACATTTTAGTAGTCTCTGCAGAGTAACTTCAGTGCTAATTAAGTCCTCGTTAGTTTGAAACCCTTGGATTGTCAAGATTGGCGGAGTAACCAATTGCTTTATCAGATCTCTTGATTTACTAGGAAAAGAAAAGCTTCATCCCTTAATTGGCAGTGTCTTTGGGTTTTTCTGTGGTGGGATTCTGATTGCCCTGGATGTAGATTCAGACACATTATCAGTTCTTACTTGCTGCCAGTGACATTGTAAGGTTCTTGGGATTGCTTTTTAAAACAACTTTTGTTGTTGTTCACCTGCTAATTGGGCGATTTACTTAGTTTTTCTTATAGTCTTGAAGGATAATCGCTTCATTTGGAATTGTTGAGGCAGTGGCTTTTACTTGGACAAACCAGATGATACCTTCTGCAATTTAAAATTCGTTTTTGCTTGTGCTTGAGGATGATGACATCATGGGTTTAAAGGGATCATGAAAATTTGAGAGGAAATACCAGCCTTTAAAGTTGCATATTTAAAAGCCCATAGTTTTTACAGTGACTTGTGAATGAGGCAGGCATTCTGTCAGATCCCTTACTTTGAATGCAGTGGTGTGTATAATTTGATATCTTCTGTTGTATGTTGTCCTTTTATGTCTTCTGTTTTCATTTTTAGAAATCCAATCTACATGTGACATTATTCAGTCTGTGTTGCTCCATGAATATTTCCGTACATCATAAAGCTTTTTAATTGTTAAAATGACATTTTTTTAAAAAAAGAGTCAACCATTAAGCTTAATACTGGCCAGCTTGTTGACCTTTAACCCCCCTCCAAACTTTTATTCTTAAAAGCCTTTTCCATAGAGATTTGTAACTCTTATTGGTAGTACCTTTGCTTAGAATGTAAACCTGAAACAACTTCTTTGTTGTAGAAAATTGGAGAGCTACTCTTTTTATCAATTTGCTAGTAAAGAGTCATGGGATTAATGCAGTAAAACACCCTGGTGGATCCACATTATGTTTTTTGACATAATATGTTTCTTTGTGCTAAATCATCTTCAAGTATGGATGCAACTTCACTACATCATTCATTCTCCATCATTCATTCTGTTTGACTTTTGTAATTCCTTACTTTACTTGGAATCACAAGAACACTAGGATAAGGGAAATAGTTTAAGGTGTGTCCTCTTAGTTTCTTTGATAAGATTCAGACCTACATGATTTCTAGCTATTAGGAAGAGCAAGCAAAGAATGCCATAACCCCCTCTGTGTTTTAGGAGAATTTAAAGCTCCATGGAGAAGTTACCTCAGATGACCAAATATGTGAACATTTTTCTGATTTCAGGATTGTTTTGGCTAGTAGAGTTAACAGCTTTCTAACACCAGAAGTCATTAGAGTAAATAATAATCTTCCCACTTTGTGAGATTGTTCTCTGGATCAAAAGAAGTGATGTTAAGGTGCTTTGTAGAATGTAAGACACTAGATGAGGGTTAGATGGATTATTTCTGTTTTATGAAACATCTTATGAAGACCCTCTGGACCAGGCATTGTGGGAAGTAGGTCCTAATGATTCTTTGTTTCAAGTTTTTTAATTATTTTGTGTGTGTGTGTACCATCAAATCAGGTCCAACTGGTACAGAAGGAGATTGCTCCTCCTTCTCCAGCAAAGCATTCGGTGGATTCTCGTCCTAATGATTCTTAAGATTACTGTTGATCTCAAGTTTAGTTGAGCCAGACAAGGAAAAAACACTTACTTACACTATGTGTAGGAAAGGAAGACTCTGGATGAGATGGATTGATGGAGCGATGGGGGTTAGTGTGTCAGAATCAGTGAGACTGGCTCGGACAGGGCAGGCTTCAGAGTTGCTGTACATAGGGTTGCAGGTGACTCGATGGCACATAACAACAGCAACAACAACAACAATATGTGTAGCATAGAAGTGTGTGAGGGGCATGCATTGAGGTGGCACTGAATCTAACCAAGTATGCTTTTCTCAGAGCTTGGTTGACTCTTTCCAGTCTTCTGTTTTTCTGTAGAAAAGTTGGCCTTTTGTGAGTGATACGCTTTTTTTTTTTAAATAAAAACTGATGTTTTTTTAAAAAAACCATTTAATTCTGTCATGATTTCTTTTTCTCTTTTATTCTTTCACTGTCATTACACTTCCCACACAGTACATCCCATTTATGGTTTCTGCATTCTCAAAAATCCAAAGGGATTTCGGGAGAACCTTTGAATGAGTCATACACACAGGCAACAAACAGAAATATTGCAACTGTAATGAAAATATCTCAGATTGCTTGGTGACAACTTCAGTGAGATCCTCCCTCCCCTCTTTGTAAACATGAGTCATTGTGTAGTTTCCATTTAATTACATTGTATTAATAAATGGAGTTTAGTTGTCAGTCCTTTTAATTAGAATGTTGACCATAGGTGGTTACAGTGCTATTTCCATTTTTCTCCAACAAAAAGAAGATACCTTTTAATAAAGTTGGCAGTTTAAACCAAAACTATACTAAAAACAATTTTATAGCATCATTTTGAATTTCTGTACACAACCCAATCCAGATTTCTCGTTTTAGAGCTGTTGTTTTGTAATTAATTTAGTATGTTAGGGCTGTTGTACATGAGTTGCAGGCAACTCAACAGCAAGCACTTATCAACAACTACCTGTGTTACAGAATTTCTGTGAAATTTTTAATTGCAGTGAATCTTTCTCAGAAATCATTGCTGTTGAGTCATAACTGACTGATCCCTGAGTGGATTTTCAGAGGAGATTGCTCTTCTTCCTCAGAGTCAGTGGTGGATTTGAACTATGGGACAGGCTCGGCCTTTGAACTTCCTATGGGCTCCGTCACAGGAGCTCCATTAGGTGGTGGCGTATTCATTGAACATGTGGAATCCAAATCTTTATTGTGATTTGAGTGAAGATTTACAAGGCAAATTATTTTTTCATTTAACCATTATACATGTTTTGTTAAATAGCATGACTTTCTAGAATCATAATACAGTTACATTTCTGATTCCCGTTAAAAAGCTTATACTCCTTTGTGTCTTTGATAATATCGTGTTGATTATCCACTTATTGACTATTGCCTTTCCCTTCACCAATCTTACTATGTGGTTATTACCTGTTTACTAATTTTTACTTATCATTGCCTTCCCTAAAGAGCAAAGAAGTCAGTTTTGAGGCTAAGGTGCACCTAACCATGCCAGGCTATTTTCAGTGGCTTGAAATGCATGTGAAAGTTGGACAATGAGTACGGAAGACTGAAGAGAAACTGTTTACTGTGACATTCTTGTAAAATTATGGGCATGGTTCTCAGAGGGGCTATTCCTTGGAGAGGGACATGATGCTTGGAAAGATGGAGGGTCAGTGAAGGAGACGAAAACCTCAACCAGATGGTTTGACATGGTGACTGCTGCCGTGGGCTCTGATGTGTCAGGAGGTGTGAGGATGGCACAGGAAAGGATGAGGTTTTGTTCAGCTGTTCACAGGGTTGCTATGAGTTGTACTCAACTCGATGGCACTTAACTGCAACAGCATTAATTCTGCATTTCCTTGTGCATGCATTGGAAAGCTTTTAAATTTGCTCTGGTGGCCTAGTGGCAAGAAGCTGCACTGCAATCCCAGAGGCACACGGTTCAAATCCACCAGATGCTCTGGCGGGAAAGGAGGGACAAGGGACAATCTCCTCCTGTACCAGTCAGATCCGATTTGATGGTACACACACACACACACACACACACACACACATAAAATAATAAAAAAATTTGCTTTGAATTCCAATTCGTTTTGTATTAAATTTCCACTTTTTAATTTGTAAGTTATTTTTCTCCTCGGTTAATTTAAGTTTTTCAATGTTGCTGTTCTTTGTTTTGCCTTAGTTTAATATTGAAGATATTTTCTCTAAGCTATTTTAAGACATTCACTAGTGTCGTATACTTTTCCCCTGACTTTATCTTTCCTTTATTTTCATCTTAAATATTTGATTCAAATTGTTATAGAGAACAAAGAATTTTTTTCCCAGGATCAATCTTCTGGTGCATAAAGATTAACGTTGATTATTAATTTATGAATACAGTTTTAAAGACTTTTTATATGAATACAGTTTTGTTAAATGTTACCTGTCCCCATCTGTTGACATTTCAGATATAAATCAAGGGAGAATGACATTTATTTCTCTATTCTAGTATTTGTTTTTAAAGCTCTTGTTCTTTTTTGTCAAAAAAGAGCAGTGTCTTGTCTTGGGATCAAGCAGGGCGGTACATACAGGACTGCTTTCTTCACTTTTGCTTTGAGATACTTTGTCTCTAATAGATCCTGTGGTCTTGCTCTTGCTAAGATCAAGCACATTTCTCTATTGTGTTGAAATGTT